GCAGAAAAATAAGGTGCAATTCAACAAATGCTGGCTTCTATCCTTAAGAATAATCAGCTGCACAAATCCAAGTTAGGAAGCAGTTTGCCAGGCAGAAAACACAGTAGGAGATGCTGAATTTGACATGAGTAAACCTTTCTAAAGACAGGCTACAAGAGTAGCTTTAAAATTTTGTGAATTCTGGACTTCTGTAAGTTTTTGGTAGAGGCATGGAGCGGCTCTGAATTTGCATATGGATGCATGCTTTTTTTAGTTGTTCTTTGGGAGGGAAAGCAGTTGCCTAAAGGAATCAGTATGGTATTCCCTAGGATAAGAAATGCTGGGTTTAAATAATACAAGGCTGTTTTGGGGTTTTATGTTCAAAATGTGGGTTTAATTGTCAAAATAGTTTAACTATGGCTGGGTGGAAATGCGAGGAAATGAGGGTGATCTGGTAGCCACATCAGAAGAAGCAAACCACCGTGGACTGAGTATTGAGTAGATTAGAAAAGCCAGACAGAACTGTCAGCCCTGAGTTTTGTACCAATTCCCCAAAACAAGCACCAAAACTTGTTTAAAACTACATTTTCTCTAAAGCTTTCAGTAAGTTTTTTCTTCTGCTGGCAAGTACCTGTGAAACCCCTGATAAAGTGTGCACCTCATCCCCTGCCACTACTTGGCTGCACAGGGTGTAATGTTCATAAGAGACTGATGCACAGGATGAACTGGTTAAGGATGATTTTGAAGACTTGGATTCCACTCTTGATTCTAACATATATTTTCTGTTAGTTGCTCACAAGTACAGACTGTAAAGAAGTTCTCTCTGACTGTTCTTCACTTTCTGGGAGCAAGATTTGCACATGTGTGATTTGCTTAAAATGTTGGTTCCCGTATGAAACACTATATAATTCTAAGTATTGCAGAAAATCACATCAGAGGTGCTTGTAGTGAAGTGAATGGAGATTTCTCACTCTGATGTTTCTGTGCTTTAGTTACTGGTAAAATGAGGTAACAACACCAGTTCTCTTCACAACAGTAGTATGAAGCTAGTGTGTTAAATAATTGTGACTTAAGGAGGAAGGTAATAGGAAACTCTGAAAGAGAACTGTTGCTTCTTTGTTTAGGTCAGCCTAGTGTGCCTGTTAGGGCATCAGCTGTTTGTTGTTTGTGAGAGAATGAGTGCTGAATGAGGACTGTGAGCTCTGCACATTCACAAGGGAAAAATGTATAAAACTTGCACAGGTAGCCATAAATCCATCACTGCCTAAATTTTGGATGCTCGACATGGCTACTGTCATAATATTCTTCTGATGTGTTCAGGGGTTTTTGGCATATGGATTGTAAACAAAGTTTATACAAATACAAAAGATTAATAAAAATAAGTGAAAATATTAAAACTTTCTACCTTTAAACAGATAAATGTGTGGAAAGCTTAAGGGAAATAGTATGGTAACAAGATAGCGTAGTTTGCTTATGGTCAGTTTTCATTCCAAGAAAAACCTGCTGTCTCACTGTGTGACACTTGGTGCAAGGTTATGTAGGAATGTAAACATGACTGATGCAAGGAATGTCCTTCACATGTTCCTGTAGAGAGCATGGAGTTTGTGTGAGCAGCAGAGATCCTTCTGCAGTCATTCCCCAGGAAATGGGAAGTACAGTAAGGAGTTGTGGGGGATGAGGAGAGGAAGCGAAGCAGAGCTTGCTCTGAGAGGAGCAGAACAGCGTTCTTCATTGTTGCCAATACTGAAATTATTTCTTCGTCATCTCTCTTTTCTTCCCTACTTTGGTTCTTTTCTTCCCCCCCCCTTTGGTTCTCTTTTCTCTTTCTATCTTCTCCTTCTGTTTTCTTTTAGAGGAAGAGGTGGTAATGCAGTAAGGAAGGGAGAGAGGTGATTGTATTAGTGGAAATGAGGCAAGGGCAAAGTAATTCATGACTCTCAAGCTATTGAATTGACACTGTAACAGGCCTTTATATACATTGCAAAAACATGGGGCATGTTGCAGTCTAGTGTACAGATTACAAAGATTATGATGGGTGAAGATATCTGATGGAGAGTAATGATTTAAACTAACAGAGATGTAAATTCACTGTACACCATTTAGAAGCATGTCACCATTTGTGCCAAATGACAGAATAATCAGAATAAAGCAGTGCTATAAGGACCAATTAAGGAACATCAAATCAATGGGTATGTGACTCATGCTGATTTAAACGGGAGCTGATTGGAATAAATAGATTTAATATGTACTTTTATTCTTAGGCTATTCTGTCATAACTGGAGGAAGCAGTATATGAGTAAGGAAGACACTGGCTTACATCTCTGATAGGAAACTAATGGGAGACATTAAATAATTTTTTTTTAAAGTCAGGATTCTGACCAGTTAAGAAATATGTCTTAAGTGTGAATTTGCCTGACTGTTACTGTTTCTTAGTAACATCATTTATCTGCCACATATTTATATAAAGACCCACACAGATTAATGGCATCATTTCTGTTTTATTTTGTATGAATTTTGAATGCCACTTTAGATCTTCTTGGGCTCTGAGTAGCCTAGAAAATGTACAAATCTTGTCTTCATTTTTGTTTTTCTTTTTTCCACTTGGAGTTATGTGAAGTCCTTCTACTTCTGGAGATAATAGCAAGATTTAAATGGCACAGTCTTAAACTCTGCAAGAAAACTCTTGTAGGTATATTGTCTGGTCTGTAATTAGACTTTTTAATTTTATATAACCTTTATGTGCCAGATGTGTAAATACCTTGCAAGGAGCGCCTGCTGAGATGCTCCATCCTACTGAAGTGCTCCAAATCCCACCTAGGATTCTCTATACAGAGGGGGGAAAAGGCTTGTACTTGGTATTTCCACACAGGTTCATTCCTCTTTCAGTTGCGGTGCCGTGAAGATAAGGAAGACAGCATGGCTAGTTAAACTTCACTGCAAAGTTACATAGTTTTTGTCATTCATTTTCTGCTTTGTGGTTTTTCTATAATGTTGCATATTAACCAAAACAGTTTCTAACATTGTCCTTAATGTCAGCTGACCATGAGTAAAAGGATGCTGGAAGGTAGAACTTGTTTTCTGAGAATTACAGTTTTGTGGTTTGGAGCTGACTTCTTATCAGACTGCTGGATAAAAAAGAAAATCTGAAAAGAACATTTTCCTAATCTCTCTTGGGGTTGTGGGGGGGCGTTGGTTTGGGGGTTTTGTTGTTGTTTGTTTGTTTGTTTGGGGTTTTTTAATGAAGATTGGATTCTGAAAATAAATAGTGTGGGGGACTTGGGATTACAGGGACTGTTTTCAGTTGCCTAGGAGGTTTTTTTAATGTTCTGTTACCTATCCTTACACTTGAAGAGGCATTTAATGTTTTACTGGTGGATAGATGAATTCCCCAGACAGACTTGATTGCTTTCATTTTATGAAATAGAGCTTGATTATTCCTCCACACATACTAAACCATGTTTTAAGCTGTGTAGAAGCAAGGGGAATTATACTGGATGAGTAAGAGAAGAATTTGATCCACCCTGAAATGTAGCTGTATCATATTTCTTTTTGTTTGTGATTAATGTGAAAAGCTACCTAGTTTGTTGCTGCTGCTCTAAATGTTCTGTAATTGATGTTTTCATCTTAATTTGTCTGGCATTAACCTCAATGTTATAGGGGAAAAGCAGAAAAAAGCTGAATAGTGGACACCTGACACTTTCTTCAAGAAAAAGGAACTAGAAAATTTTCTCCTTTTAGTTGTAGCAGTTGCAGCAGTTGCCTCCTGATATATATCACCTCCCTCCTTGGAGTCCAGAGCAGCTTTTTTCTCTTCATCCAAACTGCAGAAAAGGCCTTTGTTACCCACCCAAAGGGATCCTAGCAATGACAGAGAACTTGCCAGACAGGGGCCATCATCCATGAGGGATTTAGGAAAGTCAAGTTTTAAAGGAAAGAGGCTGGGGGGGCTGTGTTGAGAGACCTTGTCCCCAGCAAAAGCAGAGGATGGAGTCCAACATTCCTGGCTCAGCTTGGCTGTCCCCACTGCCGTGATCTGCAGTCTCCCATCTCCTTGGGCATGGCTGGCTGGCTGGCTTTGGTAGCCTGCAGTGGACCTGGTGGCTTTGCTGGATGACATTAACCCCTTTCACACAACTGCAGTTGATGTCTATTTCCTGGAAGGAAGGAGGGAATATGTTACCCATCTGTGCTGTGTCTCATGTATTAAAAGTAGGCCCTGCTGCTTGAAATCTTCTTATGCTCTGTATGTCATTCATCCATCTGCCTCCTCAAATCTTTTGTGAAATCTTAAGTGTCATAACTTACAAAAAGAAGTCTTGCTATTCTTGTATATACGGTGTTATTTATTTTTATACATCTAAAGCCTGTTTAATTTTCACCTGCTTTTCAAAATGAAATGGATCATCACACTACTAACCTCACTATGCCCTCTTCCACCCCTTATTTACAATTCAGCTTGTTTTACATACTTGGTTTGTGTGCTTAGAAGAATAACTGTGACTGAATTGAAGCAGAAGAAAAAAAAACCCTCCTAAGAATCCTGTTAATCCATTGAGAAATAAGATAATGTGCTGGTTATGCTGTCAGGGTTACGAGTGACCTGCAAATCAAAAATCTTCTGTGTGGTTGGTGTTTTAAAGCTCATATGCTAAGGAGTTGCTCTTACGTTGTGTTGAAAATCGAATTTTTAAGGTAGCTTTGATTATATTTTTGTTATATAAAAAAAATCAAAGCATGGCAAGACAAGTCAGAAGAAAATGTAGTCTCAGAAATGTAGCTTCCCTTTTGCTTCTGCAGGCCTACTTTCTAAAACAGTTTCATTGATTCATGACGATGCTTGCTGAAAAGAGAATTTCTTGCATTTTTAAAAGCCTTGAAATACATTTTCATTTTGTAATGTAAGACCTCTCATGTCAGGTGCACCTGCTTGATTTGCATGTGAATTCTGAACAATTCTTGTTTCATGTGACACTTCTGAAATGTCTGTCTGTTTTTTTTTTTTTTTCTTTTTAATTCTCAAGCTCACTATTTGGATAAGATAGTGAAAGGTACTGTATATTTTCTCTTTGACATGCCTTTATCTACTAGTTTATCTCTATCTTGGGGTTTTTTTTTAAATATTAATATATAGTTAAAAACATAGTAGTCTGGGCAAAAGAATCTTCTCCTACATACATTCCATGGATTATATATATAATTCATATGGCTTTCAACTCATCTCAAAATTTTGCTTTTGTTGTTTGGTAACACTTTATCAGTAATTATACATTTATGAACAAACTGTATACATGTATTAGATTTAATCTGAACCAATAACTGAAGATAGTATTCATTTGCTGTTTGTACCTTTTTTTTTTTTGTTAGTTTTGTCATTGAACCTCTGCCTACAAAACCCTAAATATCAAGGAAACAAAGCCAATGATACTTTTGTCACAGAACGAGTGTCATTAGTTCTAAAGAACAGATCAAATATAGAGATGTGTGTGTTTATATACTGATATATCAATAGATTTCCTGAGACTTTTAAGCTTTTGATTATCTGAATGTAGAAAATCTACAGGAAATTATGACTTGTGTCTTGTATGAATCTAGAAAAATCTTTTTTAGTGTATGCAACATTTTCAATTAAGAGGTTCAAGGATGCAAAAACCTAACATGAAACAGCAAAGATTCTTTTATCTTCAGTTATGGTAAAAAATTGATTTAGAAAAATGTTTAAAATATTCCTACCCCTCTTTCCCTGAGTATCTTCCCCTATTCCCTGTGTTTTTTCATTAGAATATGACAATATTGATGGCAATATCCAGGCTTTCACACAATAAGTCTTGAGTGTACCCAGTTCACTCCTAAATTGCTTTGTCAGTATTGCAATTATATATGTAAGTCTGTTGTAAGTCAAATAGAAGAACTGCTATGAAAAAATAGATCTCAGTACATTAACAAGTACTATTAGCAGCTGCAGTCTGAAGGAATAAAAGTAGCAAGACTAATTTCAGCCTGGCATGATGGCACAACATCCATAACTGTAGCATACCCATCCTTCCTCACAAGAGGTTTTCCTGATTCTCTGCCTTCTATGAGTGATTTGACAAGAATTAAGCACCCTTTATAACTTTTTTCTGTATCTTTGTAATTTGGAGCTACAAGGTTGAAAGGAGTCAGTAAATTCAAAATTCTTTAGAAGAAAAAAGCAACTTGCTTCTGAAAAACCACTCTAAGCTTAAACAAAATGGATCAGTAGGTTAGTTGACAGAGATAGGTGTTCTAAAAAGTGAAGAATTGTTTACCCAGTTACTTAGGGTTTTTGGATGCAAGTTTACGGAGAATTGTTGTTTCCAGAAATATCTGATTTGTAGCTGCTTCTCATAAGAGAGTTAGTGCCATATCTGTACTTGCTTCTGTCAGTGTCTTATCACAGTCATAGATAAGGAGCACTGAAATCTACATATTTATAGCGTTGTCATTCTCATACAGATCATGTTGGCTGCATGCCAGATTTCATCACTAGGAAGTGACAGATACTGTTTTTTTTAATGCAATGTTAGACTGAAAACAATTATCGATTTTGGATATATTAAATTATGTTAATTGTTTCCCAAATTTTCCCTCCTTGGCCATAAAAGCAGACAAGATAGGATATAAAGGTAACAGCACAAAAGCCTTAGGGAGATTGTCACAAAAAATCACTCTCTGCTATCTGTCTTGAAGCACGTCACTACCGTGTTTTTGTTCAGTCTATCAATGTTTATTGTGGTCCTTATGGTATTTCATTTTGTCCGTCCTAAGTAATCAAATACGCACAGCTATTACATTGAGTTGGAAATCCTGTTGGTCCTGTCCCATCCGTATGCAGCCTGAATCCTAATGTTTGTTAGAATAGATGCTAAGCTGCTTCACTATTCCTGGGCTTTGCTTATTCTGTGAAAAGGAATGTATTTTTGGCATAAAGTATAGTCATTAAAACTGGCCTATACTTTGTGCAATTATTTAACACACTGTAATTTCACATGAATACACGGCAACTCTGAGACCAGATAAAGTTAACCTTCTCTTTTATTACTTGCCTAAATCATACCCATTTTCCTGCTTAAGAATTTGGGGGGATTTGTTCATAGAAACAGGGAGATTAATCATTGGTGCCAGTAATTTATCAATACTGCATAGAGCAAATAATGATCTATTCTATGAGCACAGAAAAATGTATCATTTTACACAGCTGTGTTTGCGCTATGCACTCATCTCTTTTTACTTTGAAAAAAAAAATTAAAAAACCAAACTTAATTTTGTCTGGCCTGCAGGTATTTAGAGGATTGGTGCATTTATTTCCTGCCTGTACAGGTAAGTGGTGTCTCAAGTGTCAGGCCAATCAAAGATGCCACTTTGTTAAGAATTATGTTCCCCAGGTAATGTTGCTGTTCTGCTCCATGTGCAATTACAGTATTTGTGCTGTTCTTAAGGCCTGTTCCCAGTAAGTGTCCCTTGTTTGTATTTTCTTTTCTTTTTATATTGTTGCAATATTTAAATCACTTGTGCTTTTTCTTTGTCTGTTTCAACAGAGGGCTGCCCTGGTTTGTGCAACAGCAATGGGAGGTGCACACTGGACCAAAATGGCTGGCACTGTGTCTGCCAGCCAGGATGGAGGGGAGCAGGCTGTGACGTAGCCATGGAAACTCTCTGCACTGACAGTAAGGACAATGAAGGAGGTAAGAGACACCAAATGGGTCTCTAGCTCTGGGGAGAACATGTTGAGGAACAGGGATTTTTCAGTCAGGTGATTAAATGCTGCCATGAGAACCATACACGCATTTGACTCGCTCTTATGTCTGTAAGGATATGCCATGGTCTTCAGTGCTTCTTTGTGGCATATCAGCAAGGCCTAACAAGCTGTGTGTGACAGGTCAGATGTGTACTTAGGGAAAAATAGGTGTCACCTTTGTTTCCCTGCAGTGTTCTTTTATACTGGAAAAAAACATAGTTTCAACTCAGTGAACTGTTGGAGAGGGGAAAAAAAGGAAGGAGTTCAGAATTTCAGTGACCTCACAAGGAAATTATCCCAAGAGAATAGGCCAAATGGGGGGTTCACTTTGAACTATGATGCAATTGCTGGAAAGAATTGGTTACCCAGCCTACAGAGATCTTACCTCTCTATAGCTTTTGAATGTTCATATAACTGACAGGATGCTCCCAGAAGTCTTTCTTCCTTTTTTTTCTTTTTGGCTTACTTTTCCATAGTCTGTCATTCAGGTGACAGGTAACAATCTGCAGCGAGATGCAGGCAGGATTGCTAGCCTAAGGAATCAATCTGTGATTATTGTTGTAGTCTAGGGAAGCTGGAGGGGCTGTGACTTAGCATGATTCCAGAATCACGTAAAAAACCCCACAAAAACAAGATTTAATGTGAATGCACTCCAATATTAGATTAGCATAATGCTTTTATTGTCTGTCTTTCTTCCCCTTCTCTCATCAATTCTTTTTGCTTAACACCTTCAGATTCAGAGAATAGATAAAAACTCCATTAGGGCTTCTGGATGATGATAAAGTCATCTGGGACTTTGTCTTTCCGTTTTCGACTGTGTATGTCTCTGCAATTGCTGATTGACTCTCTGCTCTCCTGTCCCTACTGCAGCTGGGATCTTACACATCACAAACTATAAATAACAGCAGCATTTACTTCCTGAGGAAAATAAGTAACACGGTTAAAACTGTGCTGCTTTTTATTACTGTACACATCATTTGGCTTGTCATCCTTCTCCATTATGTATTACATATTTTGAGGCAGTTTTCCATACTTAGGGGCCTAAACAGTCTGACCCAGGTTCCAGCAGAAATGTGCTTGTTTGGGGAATTAAGCTCAGGTGGGCCAAGGACTTAACAAGATAAGGAAAAAAGAGAAACCTGCAAACATGAAGCGAGGAGGAGAAGAAACTAGGTGGAAGTATAAACTACCTGGAGAAAACAAGAGATTATGTAGGGGGAGAAAAAGGGAAAATACATTAAAAGTCCAATGGTAGACTAAAACAGATTCAGTAAATGTTAAAGATCATATAAGGATGTGACATATGGCAGCAAGAGCCAGGAGCAGGTAATGGAGTGGTAGGAGGAAGAACAAGGTGAGCAGGAATGCCTGTAAATGGAGCAAGAAAAAAGACGTTGCTCCTTCAGACTGAAAACAATAATAGCTTTTTGGGGGAAAAGGAACAAGGAATTGGAGCAGAACAATCTAACAGGATGAGTTAAAGACAGAAGAATGATTTTGAGGAAAAAATAGCTAATGCTGATAGTTTGTTGCCTTTTTCTCTCTCTCATTTCCTTTATTCATATTGCCTTTATGGACATCATTATGCAGCTATGCATGAGGAAGGGGGTTTCCAGGCTCTTGTTTTGCTGTGGTTGGCCTGTATAATGCTATTTGTCAATGGCATTTATCTTAATTTATATGCTTCAATACAGTGTGTATTCACTTCAGCCTTTAACTGTGGCTGAGAAGAAGGGTTAAAATTTAACAAATCAAATTAAAAATGGAAGTATCCCTAGCAAAACTAGGGAAAGAAAGTCTCCTTTGTAAGCTACCTGGAAAGAGAAGGAGTATTACTTCCCTTTCCTGCAATCAACCCACTAATCTCCCAGCAAGCCATTAAAATTTCAGACAGCTACAGGGAATGGCACAAGTATTCTTCTGCTGTATTTGTTTATCATGGGAGATTAGGTTATCTGAGCCCTTGTGCTGAATTTATAGTGTGGCTGCGGGTAGTGTGATCTACATCTCACTAGGCTTGGTGGTTACCTAATTAAAGTTATCTCAGTTGTTGTCTGTTTGATATGCTGTGGTTAGTATTTATGCTTTATCCTACACTGGGTAGAATATATTTCAGATATTAATATCAGCACAGTTCATTTATAAAAGTGTCTGCTGTTCCTTTGATTCTTTGCTCTTTCTGGGACCGATTATTCAAATTCTGTGAACATGAGCGTCCTAAGGATCCCAGTGGGAATATTCTCCATAGGAAATCCTAATGGCATCAAGGCATACCTAAGTATTTTCCCTTCTAGATATTATTGACATATGATGGGATGATTATTGCTTATCTTCCTTTTAATACAGGTTTTTCAGAGTCTTGGAAATAATTTCTGTTCTCATTAAGGCTCACTCTTTATTTTCCCCTGTGTTTGACTGGATTTTTCTTTACATTTTAGCATCCCACAAGGAAAGTGTGCATCAAGCAGATCTTAGCCTGAATTAAACTCCTAATGACTTTGTGAGGAGGGGGAAGTGAGAGCTGTCTGTGGGTGGAATACGCCTGTCTTCTTGGGGAAAAAAGGTGGCACTATTATACTTGAACAAAGTGGGCCATGCTTTGCTATCACTGTAGAAAGAATAAGAAACAGGAAGAGTGGCTGTTTACTCTTTAGTTTAGATGGGGCCTTATTGAACAGACTCCTTAGTTAAGTTTGCTTTTTATTAGCTCCTATCCAGTTATTTAGAGTAGTTACAAGTTTCCACAAGCAAGATTTAAGGGAATGTTAATATTCTTTCTTTGCTGAAATTAAAATAAATACTGTAATAAAGCAAAGCATACTTAGCACTACTGTATTTTTTTAATTACTTGCATAGTCTAGGACAGCCTGTTTCTGGAAATGTCACAGGATGGTACAAATTCAGCCTAAAGGTTGTCTAAATCAGGACCTCCTCTCTGATAGCGGCTAATAGCTGTTGCTTAGCAAAACATTGTGATAGGATAGATGTGAACTTGCATTTTCGTTTGTATGCTAACAGACTGCGAATTAAAGTGAGGAATTACTGCCACAGAACGTTTTCAATATCAGAAGAGTTGCTAAGTGCAAAGAAAACCCAAGCTAAGGAAATCTCAGGAAGTATCTACTTGAACTAGGAGTGATACTCTGGCATGCTCAGATTCTCTGGCTTGTGCTCTGACATTTCCCATTATTCTTCAGCTTTTTGATTGCATCTGTGGTAGCTGGTGAATGCTGGGTTCATATATCATGGGACTTATCCACAGTGCCTCCAAGATTTCTTTCTGGAATGAGAACTCACTTGGAGCCCCACAATTCATATTTGAATTGTGCAAAGCTGAATTCCAGTGCTTGCACACTGTTCTGGAATAAATCAAGGGCTGTTTGTACTTTTCTGGCTTTTCTGACCAGCTGTTCCTACAAGCAGAGATTTTGATGTCTATGACTGAGTCCATTCAATATAGCCTGTTGCCAAACTCTGAGGTATGTAAGGATAACTGAGATTTGGTTATACAGTTTTCTTTCCTTTCCTGTCTCTTGCCTTGGTTTGGCAGTCACCAAAACTGTCCTGGTGGAATGGCCAGCATCATAATTCCAAAACTATATTCTTCCTATGTAGGCAGTGAATTTCACTCTATGGAGATTTTTGTTGCCTAAATATTTAATCAACTATAATCAACAACAACCAAGAATAGGATTTATGTAGGTCCTTGACTACCATCTCCCCTTGACACTGGCAGATCTTTTGCCCAGGACTTACTTTGTCCCTCTACTTTTCTGCCTTCCAGCAGTTTTATTCCATTCAAAAGCAAGCAGTCCCACTGATACATCTTATTTTTCAGACAGACATTGTGGAGATCCTCTGTCTTGATTCCTCTCATTTAATCACGTAAAGAGAGCGTGGAGAAGAGAAGGGTTGGGTTGAAAGTGACCTTAAAGATCATCTAGTTCCAATCCCCCCTGCCATGGACAGGGACACGTTCCACTGCACCACATTGCTCAAAACACCATCCAACCTGGTGTTAAATACTCCCAGGGATGGTGATGGCTTCTCTGGGCAACCTGTTCCAGTGCCTCACCTCCCTCACAGTAAACAATTTCTTCCTTGTATCTAAAGCCATTCCTCCTTGTCCCATCACCATCTGCCCTTGCCAAAGGTCCCTCTCCAGGTCTTGCAGGCCCCCTTCTGGTACCTGGGGGATGCTACAAGGTCTCCTTGGAGCTTTCTCTTCTTCAGGCTGAACAGCCCCAAGTCACTCAGCCTGTCATCACAGGAAAGGTGCTCCAGCCCCCAGTGATCTTCCTGGCCTCCTCTGGACTCACTGTAAGAGCCCCTTGTCCTTCCTACACTGGCTGCCCCACAGCTGGATTCAGAACTCCAGGTGGGGTCTCACGAGAGCCGAGTTTTGATAGTTTTATCAGTCTGTCTAAATAAACAATTTCATCACCAGTCCATGCTCCACTGCAATTCAGTGCATTTTACAACAAAGGGAAAAGTAACATTAGTCAAGATTTTTACATTAGCAAGACGTCAGCTTTTGAGGAAGAAAACAATAAAGTAGTCATTACATCTTCCATACACAGAACCACTTACATCTAGAACAGAAAAATATAAATAGCCTTCTGAGACTGATAATGACTGTCCAGCTGCCTGTAGGAGTTTCTATTTTCTTTATAATTTCACTGTCATATTTGAGTGATATAACTGACAAGGCAATGTTGAACTAAGTCTCATATTTTTCAGGCTAAACAAAATTCATCAATAATTTTGCAGAGCCATTTCAGAAAGGAAATTTTACTGTACTTCACACAGTGCAATAGAGCACTTGACTTAGTGGTACTAGATAGCTCTAGCCACATAAGTACAGAGAAAGAATGAAAAATGTTTTCTCAAGTTATAAGGAGTCAGATTCATAACCATCCGTCACTCGCCTGGGCAAGTTACTGATAAACTCCACAGGAAAATAACAAACAGCATATCCCTGTATCTTGGCTGGTGAAAATGAGATTCTTTCTCTGATTGATGTTAGTGGAGAGGCTTGTAAAAATGCATTTCCAGCTGATTAGTTCAGAAGGTGTCAATCTCATGCAGTTTTATGACCTGCAGACTATACTCCAGATGTACATTTGCTTTTTATAAACTAACAAAGACGAATGGACCAGATATTGCATGGGGGACCATTCAGATAAATAAAACCCCAAAAATATTCTTTTAACCATCAGTACCCCCCAGCTTTGACACTGATCCAGGCTTCTGGAGTAAAAACCAATGAGGGACGCCAGTACTTCAGCTAGGAAAGAGTTTCATATTTTACAAGAATGATACTAGAAAATCACAAGAGTCACAGCCTATTTGAGCTTGGAAAGGCCTGTAGAAACCATGCAGTCCCACCCCCTGCTCAGGGCTGGATTAGCTAGAGCAGGTTGTTCAGGTATGTACCCAGCTGGGTTTTGAATATCTCCAAGGATGAAGGCTTCACAGCTTCCCTGAGCAACTTGTTGCAGTATCCAGCCACCTTCACAATAAAAAACATTTTTCTGCTCTTCAGTCTCTGTCCATTGCCTTTTTCCTCTTGCTGGGCACCACTGGAAGGATCCTTTTTTACACCCTCCCATCAGGTATCTGTATGCATTGATGAGAACCCTCCCAAGTTTTCTCTTCTCCAGGCTCTGCAGTCTCAACTCTCTCAGCCTTTCCTTGTAGGAGAGATGTGTCAAGCCCTTAACAGTTTTCATGGCCCTTCACTGAGCTTTCTGTAGGATGTCCATGTCTCTTGTACCAGAAAGCCCAGCCTGCACACAGAGCTGTGTGCTCCTAGAGCAGCCCGGGATGGTGTTGGCACCCTCCTTGCTGCAAGGGCGTGTTGCTGGCTCATGTTAATTTTGCGTCCATCAGGACTTCCAAGGTCTTCTCCACAAAGCTCTGTTACGGTGCAGGAGGTTGTTCCTCTCCAGGTGCAGGACTTTGCACTTCTCATTGTGGAAACTTCATGTGGTTCCTGGCAGCCCATTTTTCCAGCCTGTCAGTGTCTAGCTGAATGGTAATGTGACCCTCTGGCATATCCTCATCCCAGGCAAAATCAATGTTCTTTCTTGTCTCTTAAAAATGTTCAAGCTTTGATACACTTAATGATACTTTTTTCAGCCCTTTTATTTTCCCTGAACTGATTTCAAAGTCAGGCAAGTTAAATAAGAATTTTAGATGTGCGAAAGAACAGAAATCCCACTCCTTTACTATTTTGCCAGTCCTGTAACTGATCCACGTAGCACAGCAATACTTAGAATACCTTTAGAAGATCACTGTTTACTTACAGTCTTTCAACATATGATTTAACAAAAATGGATGCTATTTTTCCCTTCAGAAAGAAGTTTTACTCTAAAGGCAGATTCTTTTGTGAGACAAGCAGTCATGGGTTTCCTTCGAATGCTGCATTGGTATATTTTTCAGTTCAGTGCAGCAAGCAAGCTCCCTCTCTAATCTAAATGGAATAATAAAATATTTGAGCTATTTCAGTCTTGCTGTTCTTTTGGGGAAACAATCATCAGCTCTGTGATACCAGATTACATTCATCTAGAAATTTTCTGTAGCTGACATTTCCAGGCTCATTTTCCTTATGACTTTACTTACAGCAAATTAGTAGTTATCAATTTGATCTTGATTTTAATCTTTGATCAAATTAGATTTCCAGGGATGTGACAGATCTAATGTTCCACATATGGGAATATTTCAGCACATAAGCATAAAAGCACCCATGTGTTTAAATCTTATTTATACTGGCCAGCATTTCCCATCCATTTATTCAGAATAGAATCTAAGTGTTAAATACAGATTTTGTTTTCTCATACATTTTCATGTAAAAATTTGTGTGGAAATTGCCTTGCCCCTAGCAACAAAATCTTTCTGCCAAGGTATAAAGGAATCCACCTTGATACATGTTGTAAAATATTTAAAGCTACTTGCAGCATAGATATTACTAAAAAACTTGAGGAAAACAACAGAGTGGGAGTTACTTGTTTCTTTTCTCTAGCAAGTCAAATAACCTCACATTAAAGCTAATTAGACCCACTTAAAATGTTTAATATTTATAAGTTAACAGTGTATGCTGAGCCTGAGTGCCTTCATTTTCTGGTTTGTTCAGCATGTTTTTAGGAAAGTATTGAATAAATAGGTTCGTTTTTACATGATACTGAGTACTCTGAGTATATTCAGCTTGCATGGATTTTCATGGGAGCTTAAGAACTCAGTGGAAACAAACTCTCTTTCTTTAATTGAAAATGAATTCATTAAAATTTTAATTATGAGTATTCTTTCATACTACATAATTTTTTTCATCTCCCTGCTGGCTGGCTCATTCCAATGCACAGGGGCAGGAGGAAGAGTTTGTTCATTTGTGTGACTTTCTGCCAACAGATGGGCTAGTTGACTGTATGGATCCTGACTGCTGTTTGCAGAGTTCTTGCCAAAACCAGCCTTATTGTCGTGGCCTGCCTGATCCCCAGGATATCATCAGCCAAAGCCAGCAGTCTCCATCTCAGCAAGCTGCCAAAGCGTTCTATGACCGCATCAGTTTCCTCATCGGAGCAGACAGCACCCACGTCATACCTGGGGAGAGCCCTTTCAACAAGAGGTGAGCCTGACTCGTCCTGTACTCATGAGCACAGAACAAACTGGAGAGTGGGGTTCATGTGAGGAGATCTGCTATGGCAGCAAATTTCTGATGTGGATTTTGAGCAAAGACCTTTTCGCTTAATATTTCAAATTGCTTGTTTTGTCTCATTTCCTGCAAAATTCAATTTACCAGTGCCACTAGGTTACAGAAGGTACTTGCCATGCTTAGTATCTGTATTCTAACAGGGCACTTCATTAATGATTAAATAAATCTTTATTTAACCAGTTGATTTGGGCTAGCACAGTTGGAAATATATCAAAGCAATGAAAACACTTCAGAAGGAAAAGCAAAGCTGCACTTTTTAAACTGAGCTCACTAAATAATATAAATTATGAATTAATGTAATAGAACTGTTAAGTGCACGACAGTATAATTGCATAAACTATTTGACTGGTGCTCTATGAAGCAGTAATGACCTGAAAATAAGCCAGTAACAGGAAGCAGGTGTCTGGGATCTCACTGAGTGAAAGAAGATGATTTACACTAGAACTACTGCGTTTGCAGTAATTTAACAGCATTAATGTGTTTGGGCACAGCAGTTGATTAAAAGTTGTTGCACCAATGTTCCTTATTGCTCTTTTAAATTTTGTATTTCATAGTCCCTGCAGTTTTACAGATTGCTTTGATACTAATTGAAAAGTACATTTTTCTTTAAAAGTCTGCCAGAAATATGACTTATAGTGGGAACATATAGAGTTTCTAAGTTCTTAAAATTCTTCAGTTAATTTCTGCTCTTAGTAACACAGTACAGACAAAATAAACCAAAGTAAAATCAACAATACTGAAACAAAATTATTATCTGCAGATTCTAAGGCATTTGTTTATATAGTGTAAATTATGTGAACTTGTAAAAGGGTTAGAATCTGAGGAATGTTTTCTAAATGGTAGTTGATAGCATGGGGGGGAGGTGCGTGAGGGTGAATGTGTGTGTTCACTCAATAGCTTTTTTCATGCAAAAAGAACAAAACCCCCCAAACTTGAAATTTGATCCTGCATCTTTTTCATAGTCTTGCATCTGTCATAAGAGGCCAAGTATTAACTGCTGATGGAACACCGCTCATTGGAGTCAATGTTTCCTTCCTACACTATCCAGACTACGGATATACAATCACTCGCCAGGATGGAATGTAAGTTCCTTTTGAAGCACTTAAAAGTCATAAAGACAGCAAAGGTGTTACTGAAGAGCTGCTTGTAAAACTGAGATAATAAAATAACAGGGAAAAAAGACATTAGGAAACTGATTGACTAAAGTTGTACTTTGCACATTCTTAAAATGTAAAACGTGCTGATTATTATATACTTTAGAAGTAGAAGGACTTGCTTAATTTAAACGCAGCGTCCCAAATTCTCTGTTCTCTCTGTGCAGTATAATGTAATGTAATTTAATTGATTTCTCCATTGTTCCCAGTAGAGCCATTCTGCATTCAGAGCAGTACAATGGAATGAAGAATCAATCAGTAGAATAGAGGCTGTGGATGGCTTTGGGAATTTGCTGACTAGCTGGCCCTCTTGGGATTTTTCCCTAGGTTTGACTTGGTAGCGAATGGCGGTGCCTCTCTGACACTGGTGTTTGAGCGATCCCCGTTCCTGACACAGTATCACACAGTATGGATTCCCTGGAATGTCTTTTATGTCATGGACACCCTTGTCATGAAGAAGGAAGAGAATGACATTCCCAGTTGTGACCTAAGCGGATTTGTAAGGCCAAACCCTGTTATCGTGTCATCGCCTTTATCCACTTTCTTTAGAATTTCTCCTGAAGATAGTCCCATCATCCCAGAGACACAGGTAAGGTGTGCTTCAAATAAACACAATCTTATGCCAGGCTAGTGTTCAGCAACCAGAATGAAAACCATGCACTGCTGTAGAAAAATAAGTAGTTCTGAGTAAGTGCTAGGAATTTGCAACATGTGATTATTTTCAGACCAATTTATTTACTCTGTCTGATTTTTAAAATTTCATCTGAAAATGGAAAGTAAGAAAGCTGTGTGTACATCAGTACATTTGTTTCCATCACTTAATTTACAGAATGTATTTAGCATTCAAGTACTGGCCCATAATTAGGGTACACTATGGTACATTGACCTTTTAGGATTGGCCTTTCAAACTTTTCCAAGTGAAACAGTCCTCCTTCTGCCTCCCTCTTTGCCTCTCTCTCTTTCTCTTGCCCCTACTTCCCCAATTTCATAATTACATAGAGCACTCTTTTTTGCATTCATGAAGAAATGTCTTTGCCTCTTCAAGAGAAACACAGAAAATGTATTCAAATGTTTTCATGCAGTGCTCTTAAGAAAAGAGCTAAATCATTAAGCAATTCATGGTAGGAGCAAGTTTAAAGGAAAGATGTAAGAAAATTACAACTAAACACTCTAGACTCTATACAAATCTAGACTGCTAGGAAATTGTTGCTTTTATCCTCACTATCATTTCTGTGCCTTTGATAGCTGCAAGTCAATTAAAAGAAAGTATTTTCAAAACAAGAGTCCACTGAAAAACAGCTCTGATTTGCTTGTTTTGATTTAGTTGTTTTGGCAATAGATGATAGATTCAGTTCCTGAAATTATGGAAAATGGCTTAGCTAGATATAAATCAAGAAAAAAGTTATGATAGAAGAATGTCAGAAAATGCACATTTTAAAAAAACCCTTGTAGTGTCTAGGTAAACAAGTTATTTCTTGAGCAGTGGGACTAATGAGGTCTGGGTTCCTACTAATTCCCACCCACTGCTGTAATTCCATCTGTCTGTCACATCCAGTCCTTCCCCACAGGCTGCATTCAGCCTTTTCTTCTTTCTCATGGGAGTCCCAAATTGACTACTTCCTCCCTACTGGAGCCCTTTTTTTTTTTACAAACATAAAGGAACAGAATTATCTTTAGGGATTTCTACTGTTACTTAAATTGTGGTTGAAATTGTCTACCAGGTTCAAAATTTGTGAGGTGGGAGGTCTGATAGGCAGGACTGTTGGGTCAAGTTGTCTCCCTAGGAAACCAGCTGGAAGGAAAGACATTCTCGGTGGATCCTAGGCAGTTGGTGCTGCTGGGTGATTTCTGATGAGGGAAAATGTTATGTATGCAAAAATCCAATTCAATACTATGTAAGAAAACATTAAGCGGTGCTTTCTTCTATATTCTTTGCTTATCCCACACATAATTTTCTCCTTCAGCAAGTGGGAGCTGCACAACTGTGACTGGCGTGTACCCCTTCGGGTGAGGTTCCCCTCAGAAACGCATAATGCTCAACAATCTGTTGCCCAAAAAAAATACTCCTCTCATAAAAGATGGGCAGAACCAGATACTATTCAAAAGTGTATGTTCAGCTCCAGAGGAACTGCTGCTGATCTTTTCATATAAAAAGGGGCAATGCCAGTTTAAAGTGTGTGAGCCTGGAGGAAGGCACAGAGAAATAAGATGTTCCCCATGTTCTTGCAGTCAGTGTTTAGCCACCCTGTTCGTGTGCTGTGACAGCACTCACCATCACGTACTGCAGGAGAAAATGATGAGCTGCTGTAATCATCATCCCTTGAAGTGCTTCATCATCCCTTGGAGATAATGTTTCCAAGAGTGTACTTAGTGGCTTATGAATCCCAAATTGATCAGAGGGGGAATTAAAGTCTGTGCCAAAGGAGCAGTATGAAAGAAAACTGGAAAAAAAAAAAGAAAGGGCGAGCAAGGGGAAAGAACAAACACAGTGGGTAAAGAGGTGATCACAGCCCCAACAGATCATTACTCAAGAGGGCTGATAATAACATGTTAACTAAATTTGGACTGCTCAGGCATGATTTTATCTACTATTAATTGCAAGTTACCATGCTTTGCCTAGACTTAAGTAGCTGAGATTAATTGGTGTGGAATGAGGCAATAAACTGCATACAGATGAGGGAGTTCAGGTTAAGCTGGAGCTGCTTTTATGTATTAGGTAATATTGTTACTCTCTTTTTCCTAATAATTTCCTGAAATGTCTGTTTTCCATATATTGCCATGTGGTCTGGCAGAAGCCCATGTGACTCACAGTGAGCACTTCTGAAACGGAGTGTTTGAGGGTTTCCCCTCTCCTAAACCTCCATTATCTGCTGTTATATGTGCTTGCAAGATGCCTTCTGCAGATCCTGAGCCTCTTGTTTCCATCACTTCATGTGTATGAGAGAATGAAACCTGGATGTTTTCCTTCAAATTATGTATTAAAGGTTCTTCTCCTCAGACTCTTTCTCACTACTGGCAGTAATGGGGCAGAAGTTGGCAAAATTTATTTACCCGGAGGAATTCAGGATAAAACATGAGCTTCAATGACTTAATAAAAATAATTAATGGTAGTTTCAGAGTGGCTAGGTTTTCAGCAAAAAAAATGAACCTATTTTAACATTTAAACTAACAACATAATAGGATATCTAAAAATATTAGTATTCTATGGATACTGCACCCTAGTTTCACTTACCTAAAATCTTCAGAATTTCAAGTTCATACTTGAAATTTGAGAAAAAAAATTGAGATTATTTGCAGAACCAAATATCTCCATTTATACATTTCCTTCTTTTCCAGCACATTTTATGGTTTTCTTCTCTTTTGCTTTCTGTTTGAGACTTTGTACATACCTTTTTCTTTATTCTGTTAGAGACACAATTTTATATTTCTATATGTATGTGGCTTTTTCCTACCCCTCTTCTCTGTGGTACCTAAACCATGTATTAAGTCTAGAAAAAACAAGTATTTTTACCCTTTCTATTTCTCCTTGATTTAACTGGTAATTTAAGAGCCTCAATTGTAAGGAAAGGCTTTTTTTTTTAAAGGAAAACAGTTTTCTGTCTTGAAATGAGCAGTTTCAGCTTCTACTTAAAGTATAATTTTGGTACTCCCTAATCTCAGCCTTTATGTAATAGCAGCAGTTGCTAGTATCTAAAAATGCCATCTTTACCCCTCTCAAACCTAGATCATGTTACATTTTAATGCAGCAGCTCAGCTGTTATTTCTCCGCAAACAACCTTTTTCTGACACTAGGACTAAAGTTTGCACTCACTTATGAAATTTGTCCTCAAATCCTCTTTTGAAATTGTTCAATTTGCCAAAAAAAAAAAAAAAATCACACAACACAGCAGGCATTTCTCCCCCTAACAGAATTACTTATTCAGTGTTCTGAATACCATCAGAGCATGTCAGCTGAATCATATCATATTTTGGAGCAGGAAGGCATTCTAGAGCCTGGACAGCTTTAGTCCTGCTGGCCATGAGAGATGAGGAGCCTTGCACAATTTATGTGACTCGGAGACCAGCTCGAGCTCTGAGGACAGCAAACGCTGTGAAAATCAAGGTGACCCTTATCTCAGTCCCCTAAGTTAAATATTTCACTGCTGTCCTTAGGAGTAGCTTGATCATGCACAAATAAAATGTCAGCCATTAGAATTTGGTGGTTGGGCAATAAGTCAGTCCCCTTAGGGTATCAGCCTTTCTGAAGGCAGTTTATGCTCAGTGTGGAGAAGGTGAAGCACAGACAGCTTGGTTGTGTTGGTGATTCCTGACGTGACTTTTATTCCCGGTGACTTTCCTGATTGCTTTACAATTGATGTGTTGTCATGGCTCCCATAGGAGCTCTCTGCTGTGCCTGATGATTTACCTTTTTGGATGAACATGAAACTGTTTAAGTCTCTTTGTAATGCTTGATTCTGGGAGATAGATTGAGTTGCTTAACCTTACCTATACATTTCTAAACTTCTCAAGAAAATAAGTTACTACAGGGGATATTTTATGGAAAAAAGGAAGTTATAAGTCAGATTTCCAGCAGGCATTTGAGGCTTCTGCAGAAACTAATAATAGGGGTTTAGGTTTTCTTTTAAACCTCGCTGAGAACTGCATGAGTGTCCTAGTTTCTAATTTGATAGTAATCCAAATACACAGTGGAATTTCTTGAAAATTGAAACTTCAAGGTGTCCTCTTTATTGCCTGCTATCTCAGCCAAGAGCTCTGGAAGACCACCTATGTGTTTAACACTGCTCTTCCACAGTTGCAGTTGTAAAAGAAGCCATGGTCGTAACAGGAGACCACTGAAGTCCATTAAATTGTGTCCTATTACAAGCATATTATTTCTTTTTCTCCTCTTGCTTACAGAGACCTCCATCTGTTATACTAGCTTTAATGTGCAGTATATGAGAGTCCTGCTGGTGTCTTGAGGAGGAATTTGTCTTTTGTTCCTGGGTGGTTTGTGCTTTTCCTTCAAAGTCTCAGAAAAGGAATGTGCTCACAATCACTTTCCTCTCTAGAGAGAGGTGCTTTTGTTCATGTAGGAAAGATTTGCCTGTTCTCTGGATTAGACAGTCTGCATATTGAGCTGAGGGAAAATAGACTAGATTTACAAAGAGAAATGAGGCCACACTCACCTCCTTCAAGGTGACTACTTTCTTTTCAGCCAGGTTCTTGGTGGGGAACAAAGAAATATTCAAAGAGTAAGAATTAAGAATTTAAAAAGCGTAATTCATTTGTCTTGTATCTTCCAATTCATACTTTATTTCCTAAAGTACTGTTATAGTCTATCTGAAGAACAACAGTTTTATGTTTACATGTATCAGATATAAATAACTATAATGCCAGACAATGAGTCAAAATAGTATTTCTGAAATTTTGTTACTGGGGAGGAAGTAGATATAATTAATACTGTATAAACCTTTCTGTAGATCCAACAAAAATGCTAATGTAGAGGATGGTGTAGCATGTGTTGCCCTCCTTGAACATCAACCGCATTACTTCACCCTATTCAACACAGTCAATTTTTTAGAAGCAGTGTCCAGGGATTTCTGTGGCACAGAGAGCTGGCAGCACTTGTGTAGTAGCCAGGTTTTGATCCCACTGAAGTCTTAAGCCTAGTACTTGTGACAGTGCTTCTCCTGAAGTCTGCTTCCCACTAATACTAAATCATGTTTGGTCTTCAGACTTCAGGACCAGGAGACAGAAAAGTAAAATAAACCTTTCTTAATTTACTTCCCAAGAGTGTTCCTGTAACACCACTAAGGTTCTGGGCTTGTGCTTCAGCATCCTTTGAACTCTTCACCAACGAAACATTATCTTTAAGCATGTCTGGATACATTTTTCTTCTTCTTTTTTTTGTTTCAATAAACCAGGATAGCTGGTAGCTGTTCACTGCAAGTGCTGGCTGCAGTGTTTATGTTCTGACTGAGGCATAGAACAATATAGACTGCTTTTATCCACATTACACAGAAACATTTCACATCCATCCATCACCCACAAAAGCTTCTCAGCTCAGAGGCAATGACAAGGTAGAGGAGGGGAGGAACCTTTTAAAAATAAAATTGAGTCATTCCACCTCTCACAAATGTGAAAGTGATAAGCTGATATCTGAGTAGTGAATATTGATCAGAAAATATGGAAAAACTTCCCCTGAGGCATCCTACTTATCTGTCTTCAAAATAAATGGAAGAATGGTCTAGTTTAAAGTATTTACAATCCACTGGTAATGCAAATAATAAAATACCTGGGACTTCTTCCTGCTCCTACAGGAGAAATTAGGCATCCCAACCCAAATCTCAAGCTTTGCTCTCCTTAGAGGCTCTACTGCCTTTATTAGACATGCCTTTATTAGTTGGGACATGGGTGGCAGCACCATAAGGGGCAATTTTCACTTAGTTGAAAGATGCTTTTTTGCCTCTTCAGGAAAAATCAATTGTGAATGTTTTCTCATGCCTCCTTTGCCCCTCATTAAAAAAAAAGGAGATTATTTTGAAATGCTTGAGCAGAAAGTACCAACTAAGCAGCTTCAGTATATTGAAGAATTTAGACTTGACTTTTTAGGAAAAGTGTAAAACATTGTTATTTATTTATGGGTTTTTTAACCATGAAGGCCAAATACAGGTGATATTTCCTAATGGATTGTCATGTAATATGTTAGGCAGCCTTTCATGATAGCTGCATTGTTTTGTTTAATTTCAAACTACTTGAAATACTGTATTTTTCTTTTAATGATGCATAGGTACTTCATGAAGAAACAACAATACCAGGGAGTGACCTGAAGTTATCGTACTTGAGCTCCAGGGCTGCAGGATATAAATCTGTACTGAAGATTACTATGACCCAATCTGTTATACCATTTAATTTAATGAAGGTTCATCTTATGGTGGCAGTGGTGGGAAGACTTTTCCAAAAATGGTTCCCTGCATCCCCAAATCTAGCATACACCTTCATATGGGATAAAACTGATGCATACAATCAGAGGGTCTACGGATTATCTGAAGCTGTTGGTATGTGTTACAGAGGATTTTTGTACTTCTAGTGTTGTCTTGAACATAGGGAAGCACACCTCAAAGGCTTGTATCCTTTAAGAAAATGTTGGCAGAATAAAATTACATCGGTGGGTATTAAAACATATTGAAAAATACTAATTATATTGAAAAAAGTAATCTAAACATTGAATAATGAGAAAAAAATTGCTTCAGAAGGAAAAAGAAACCATTTTTCATTCACATGAAAAGTGACATTTTTAAACTTTTTTTCCTTCCCATGAAGTAGCTCTCAGCCTAATAATAATGGTGTTTAGTCTGCACACTGTGTGTACTTTAGGTAAAGTGCAATAGCAGTATGACTTACATCACAAAATGGATTTCCTCTGTCTTAGTTCACTTACTCTTAATAACTAAAATATTTTAATAACCTAAGATTCTGGTTAGTATCTTCAACATGTCTAAGAAGCCAGAGGAATTTTCATGTGTCCTAGGAGAGCAAAAGAATGTGTGCAGTTTAAGGAAATGCCATTCTTTAAACTCCTCTTCAGAATGAGATCCTGTACTGAATGAGGCCGTGTGCTGTTTTTCAGTGTCTGTAGGTTATGAGTATGAGTCTTGCTTGGATCTGACTCTCTGGGAAAAGCGCACTGCCATTCTGCAGGGTTATGAGCTGGATGCCTCCAACATGGGTGGTTGGACATTGGATAAGCATCATGTATTGGATGTTCAGAATGGTAAGGAGTTCATTTTCTTCCTGCTAGTTTTACTGCTCTACTGTCCTGCACTTCAAGTCTCTCATTCAAACTTTTTGCTATTTGTGCTATTATTTTTAAAAAGGAAATTGTAGAACATTTTGCAAATGGTAATGCTTTGTACTTCCTTGCTCCCCAGGGAAGTGGTCACACCAAGCCAGTCAGGGTTGGCAGAAAGTGTTAGGACAATGTTCTCAGGCACACAGTATGATTCTTGGGGTTTATCCTGTGCAAGGCCAGGAGTTGGAGTCAAGAATCCTGTGGGTTCCTTCTACCTCAGGATATTCCTTGTTTCTATTATTTACACTGAATGTCATGCTTCTGCATCCTAAAAGTACATATACATGAATAAATTCATCAGTCTGTGTCGGATATGCTGTGGTGGATTAACTCTGGCTGGACACCAAAGCCACCCAGTCACTCCCCAGCTGCACAGGGGAGAGAAAACAGAATGGAAAGCTCATGGGTTGAGATGAGGACAGAGACAGATCTCTCAGCAGTCACTGTCATGGGCAAAACAGAATTGACTTGGGAAAATTAATATAATTTATTACCAGTCAAATCACAGTAGTGTAGTGACAAAGAAAGCCAGTCTTAAAAACAACTTGCCCAATCCTCCCTTCTTTCCAGGCTTAACTTTACTCCTGAATTCTTTATCTCCTCCCTGCCTATGGTGCAGGGACACAGGGAGTGGGGCTGTGATCAGTTCACCACACCCTGTCCCTGACCCTCCTTCCTCCTCAGGGGAAGGACTGCTCACACTCTTCCCTGCTCCAGCATGGGCTCCCTCCCACACAGACAGGCTCCATGAACTTCTCCCCTGTGAGTCCTTCCCACGGGCTGCAGTTCTTCACAGCTGCTCCAGTGGGGTCTGCTCTGTGGGGTGCAGTATTTCAGGAACAGATGGCTCCAGTCCTGGCAGCAAACCTGCTCCAGCACAGGCTCCTCTGTCCATGTGTCCAGAGGCCCTGCCAAGAGCCTGCTCCAGCATGAGCTTCCCACAGGGTCACAGCCTCCTTTGGGCATCCCCTTCTCTGGCATGGGCCCTCCAAATGGATATGTGCTCCACCACAGGTGCCCATGTTCTGCAGGAGCACAGCTGCCTCACCATGCTCTTCTCCCATGGGCTGCAGGGGAATCTCAGCTCTGGTACCTGCAGCACCTCCTCCCTCTCCTTCTGCAGAACTTGCTGTCCGCAGAGCTGTTGCTTGCTCATATTCTCACTCCTCTCTCCAGCTGCAATTTGCTGTTGCACAGTAACTTTGCAAAGTGTGTTGGTCAAGCAAGCTGCTCAGCAACTGTTTGCAGGGTGCCATGCTAAGGAAACCTCAGCTCAACACTGAACAGGAAGAAATTTGGAAAAACTTGGCTGAAAGCGTGTAGGAAAGGTGAAGTAAACAGTCACATAGCTTAAAGTAGTAGTTGGTAGCACTTGGTTTTCATGCAAGAGAGGAACCCAGAGTAATTATCAGGAAGATTGTCAGTTCTGCAGTACTTGATGTCCCATGAAGGTCTCCCCATAGTACACAAGCTTAATATGTGTAACGCAGTAGTCGAAACCTAAAGCATCGCCTCTGGTAAGGAAACAAGGTCACCAAATCAAGGGAAAAGGTGTCATTGTACCTAATTTAAAATTAAAAATAAAAAACCAACAAAACAACTGTGCAAATTATTGTAAAGTAATCCATCTAAAATTGTAAAGAGCTATAATTATAAATATATATGTAAGACTGATTCTGTTCACTGGGTAAATTGATGATGGCTTTAAATTGTGTTGAAGAGTACATTTGACAAATAATGACTTTTCAAAGTGTCATGTGTCTAATTGAATAAACTAAGTGGAGAGTTGTAATGACAAGGTGGATGAGATGCATAAATCTATTCAGGAGAGAGTGCAGACAGTGTTTGCATGGAAATCCAGACTGCTGCAGTAAATAGTCTAATGTACATCTTTTACTCTGTGATAATAGAGGAGAAATGTGAAGGACCAATTTTTCAAGGTAATGACAGAATAAATCAGGTGCAATAGTGCACTGTGCTGACTTCTAGAATTCTGCTGATGAAAATTGTAGAACTCAGCTATTTCAGGCAAAATTATAGTGCCATGATTGTCATAAATGATGTAATCATAGGAGAGGGGATTTCGTATACTGTTAAAGCATTCTGGCTTTAACTATTCATGAAAAACACATTCTTCCTCTTTTGATTTAGATTGCTTATTTGGATTACTTGCCATTAGGTTTCCATAAACCATTTTCATTTTTTCCAATTTTATCATGTTTCCAATTTTATCATATTGGTTTTACATTTATAATCTCTTGCATTTTATAACATTAAAAGCAGTGAAGACACCTAAAACATTTAAAGAGGAAAGCAAGGTATTTTTTTCTCCTACCTTTCAGTTCAAATCGTGCACTTCAGGAGAGAGGAGGGAAAGAGAAATACGCCTTAAATTTCTTCTAAACTTCTTAAAAGATAACTGTATCCCTCAGCTCCAAATTGCATGAACCTCTGGGCATGCAATCAGTAAAACCCAGATCTCTGTACAGTACAAAGTGACGTGTGGTTTACATAGATTATACCATGGAAAGACACATGGTGACTCATGGTGACTTATGAGTAGAACCATAATAGCTGACCATTTGTAGAGGACACCTTAATGGATTCATCATGAGACTGAGCAATGAGGGTCCTGGCAACACTTGAACATACATTTTTTTTCCCCACAAGACTGAAGATTTAAGATAAAGCATCCATTTTTCCTCTCAGATTTCCTACGTAGGCTATAAGTAAGAAAAATACTGCTGGCATATTGCTTTGTCTTCACAAAATTATTGTTTCTTTCATGCCTCAAAGCAGAATTAAGTTTTAGAGGCAGGTTGGCTTGGCACCATTTTTTTTGTTGTTTTGACATTTTTAATAACTGCCTTTAGCTGCAGATATGGTACTGAGGCAGACTTTGTTGCCAGAGGAACACTTTTGTTGTGAGCTGAGTAAAGAATCTTTTACAATGTAAAATTGAGGCAATCGACAACTTTTTGAAGTGGCTCTTTAATTAATATTTACAATTTGCAACAGTAGTCCACTTCAGATTACATTCAACATGATACTCATAATTAGTTGTACTAGGACTTTAGGAATACAATTTGCAAATATATTCTTTTTCATTTTTTATAAAGCACTTTAGAATTTCAGTCCTTTCTGTACTATTTCAAGACTGTAAAGATGTAGGAACACAGACCTTCCTTCCATTAATATACTTAACATTTCCTCCAGCATGACAACTTTTATTCATTATTTAAATGTTAAATCATTAACATTTAAAAATAACAACTGAAATTATTTTGGGGTTTTAAGAGCTACAATATTTAGCGTTTCTACTAAATTTTGTGGACAAGATAATGTAATGTTTGCATGTTTATAACCTAAATATAACTATAGATGTTTTAATAAAGTTGCTATCTGTTGTGAGGAAAATATGGTGGTGAAACAATAAAAATTCATTGAATTTTTACTAACTAGCTAAAAGACTATTTACAATACTTTTGCACCATTTTATATGTATACATTTAGAGTTTTTATGAACGTTATTGGGTTTTGATTTGGTTTTTTCCTGTATTATCTGGCAGGAATCCTCTACAAAGGGAATGGTGAAAATCAATTTATATCTCAGCAGCCCCCAGTTGTTAGTAGCATTATGGGCAACGGGAGACGACGCAGCATCTCCTGTCCAAGCTGCAATGGTCAAGCTGATGGTAACAAATTGCTGGCTCCGGTTGCCTTGGCTTGTGGGATAGATGGCAGTCTGTACGTGGGGGATTTCAACTACGTCCGGCGGATATTCCCATCTGGAAATGTAACTAGTGTTCTGGAGCTAAGGTATGTCTTTTTCTCATCCTGGACTTTTGGAGGTATGAGTTACTGTGGCAAATTAAAGTATTGAATAAGTTTCTGCAATTGTGTAAGTTTGAGTTTGCAAATGCTTTTGGGAACAAAACAGAAGTTGAGTCAAAAGATTTTTGAAGTATTTAAAGCTGAAATGAAAATATTTTACCCTCATAAAATATTTTAACTATGCTTATCTAAATGTGAGAATTTAATCTAACCAAAGTAATAATTCAGCAGATTTTAAGAGTTAACATATGTGGTCAATGTAAGTGGACAATCGACAATCATTCAACACTTCACTAATGACAGATGTAAATGTTGCCTTCTTCTCTCTCGTCTTTTAACATCCTTTCTGAATGTTTGTCTAATAATGTTTTTCTGTTCTTTTTTACTTGCTCCCACCAAGAAATAAAGATTTTAGACATAGGTAAGCATTCCTTAAAGAAGATTTATATTTTTCTAACTGTTCTTCTTTCTTTTTTAACAAATGAATGCTTATAATGGGCAAGTCATTTCTGAGATGTATTACTAGAAAAGAGGAGTATTTTTCAAAAATAATGAGTTCATATGTTTTAGTTATGTCAACTGTCAGGCTGTATCGTCCTCTCTGATGAGTTCCTCTTTTCTCATCACTCTCTGTCCACAGTCAGGCTTCTTGTTATGCTTGTGTGTGCCCTCCTCTGCTGTTCCCTCATCTCTGCTCACTCCTTGCTGGCAGCTCTTTTGCTGATCCAATCAAAACTCACCCATTAATCAGATATACCAAATATGATGAGAATGGCATATAAAAGTATCAAGGGAGTTCATTTCATTAGCTTTTTGATGTTGAATCTTTTCAGGCTCTCATTTAACAGATTTGTTTCTTTAAAGGTGAGTTTCTTTTAATAATGGAAGTTGAAATAGCAGTAACACAACTCCAGGAGTTAAGATTTTAAAATACACCCAGACTCACAAAATTGGTCACAGTAACAACAATAATCAGAGGATTGTAGTACAGCATTCATCCGTCCTGGCATCACTACAATAATGGCAAGAACAGAAGAGTAGGTGGATGCTTAGAATTGCTTTCCACAGCAGCTGGTGCAGATAAGGAAGAAAAAAACAGAGTCATGCTAAAATCTTGTTGCAGACATGAAACCCTGCAAACATTTGTGGCAGAACTACTAAGCTTAGCAGGCTCACTGGTAGCTTTCTCTCCTTTTTGCTGCCAATCATTTTCCTTCTTTGTTTTTAAACAAATCCTAGAGTCATATCTCTGTTGTCCTTGTTTTTTAAATTCACTTTTCTTTAACATACTTCTGAGTGAGGAAGGGTTTTATGTTTACAAAAATATGTTTCAGATATGTTAGGCAAAAAATTCCATGACAAACTAAGGCGTCTGCATCAGTGCTAATGATCAGAATTGGTTTTGTGGGTTTTTTTTCCCCAGGGTGACTCAAAGGCAGTGTCTTCTGTTTGGCGGGTTTAGGGTTTCACTATTAAAATTAGTTTTGTATGTGTTCCACCACTCTTAAAAGAATTATATCCCTTGTGGTATCACAAAGTTGTGATTGCAGCTAGATAGGACATTGTCTTGGCAAAAATATAGAATGTGGAATAATAAATACTTAAAAATGGGCATGTGGAATGTACAGAAAGGGATTAAAGAGTGGATGCATACTGAGGTTTGTTTTGCTGTGATTTAGTAGCGCCACCCTTTCCTGCCTCTGGCAGAACTGTGGTCACAGCCTCAACTGCAGTGTTTCAGAAACTGGATCCCTGCATCTAAGAGAAGTTGGTGAGGGAGAATACTGAAGCTTTTCTGTTTTATTCAAGCCTAAACATGCAGAATCTCCAGGTAGAAAAATTGCAGTCATACCAAACAAATTAGAGTAACAGCATGGGCCCATATAGCAGCTGTGACGTGGGGGTTCCTCCTGGGGCAGGAGGAGACTGTGGAGAACTGGCTCTGCAGGAGCAGTTGGGGAGCCAGTAGGCAGGAGGTGTGGAGCCCACTGTGCAGCACAACATGATTTACTGTGAGCCTGAGTTTTCTCTCACATCATACAACATTTTCCCAGGGTCCACTCTCAGCCTTAGAGATTTGCTGATGAGAGACTTCCTAAGCCAAGAGTGAGATCTTGATGCTTAATATCCCCTGGCAGCTTTTTATTCTATTAATTTAGCTGCCTTTTATTTAAGATGTGTAAACTTCTAGGATTCACCAAATCCTCTTGCCGTGGACTCTCCAGCTAAGGACACACTGTGAGACCAAATACCTTATTTTGGCTGCATGAATTCACGCAAAGTCCTGTGAAATGCTGCAGAGGGAAGCACATCTGTCTGGCCTGTAAGAGGAGAAGGGAGGAAATGTCCACTTTCACTGGCAAGCCTTGCAGACTCCTGAGGAGATTTCTACTTAAACTGCAGTTTGGAAAAAAGCCCTCAACAGACCACTTTGCAAAAGATAATTGCTAGGTATTAGAAGAAAATGCACTAAAAAATGCATTCCCCAAGTAAAACTACTGAATGAGGCTAAATGCTAGTTCAGATCTCTTGTCTATTCAAGCATTCACCTTTCCTGGCCTATAAACACAGTGCTTCAGCACAGTGTGATGTGTCTCCTAGCTCAAGAAGACTGTGCTCTCTTTTGTAGAGAGAGAATGCAGATCAAATTTCTCCTCTCATGTACCAGTGACCTCGCATTTTTTCAATCTCAAAGCTGAAATGATGTCTTTATACACACTGCTGCCTGTGGGTGATTAATGCTGATAGACATTCATGGAAGAAGTCATTTTTAGAAGGTCTTTGAAGACAGGGAGGTCTTTTGTAGGCTATGGCACTATCCCAAATCTATAGAGAGGCAGAATAAAAAGTCTAACAAAACATAAAAACAGCTTTGAGGGGATATATGGTTTAGAGGGCACATACTGAAGGCAAGAGAGACAGGGACTGAAACAGGAGGAGTATTTTCAAAAAAACTATACATGGAGAATAGTCCAGGTGATCTGACAGCTGAAGAATCAAAAAATTGGCCTAATCAAGATAAAAGCAAAGAGAAATAGATAGTTACAGCTCTGTATATGTGTGTGTGCACACTTTCAATTAAAAGCACTTACTATTATTCAGAATAGACAGAAAAAGTTAATTTTTAGGCATTTGTCTTTACAGGATCCAGTGTGGGTATGTAACTCCATGTTTTGCAGGCTGCTGAAAGTGATTAGGCAATACTGAATGAGTCAATAAGTCACGGGCTGGGGATTTAATTTCTTTGCATTTGTTGTTATTGGTAGAAGGCAGAAGTTTAATTTCATTTCAGGGTACAATGAAATTGCATAAACTCTGCAGCTTTCCAGCTGCTGGCTGCTTATCCCTGTACTATTTTTGTGATCTGCATAGTGCTCATGGATATTTTCTGGCTACAAAACAAATGTAGTTTTCACTTGACAGTTATTCAGTTCCTCAAATTGTGCCTTTCTCCCATCAATTATTGGGGGGTTTCTGTCCTCCTTGGCTGTGCAACCTTCACCTGAAAAGAAATGCTGAGGTTAAAGCCTGTTGTATCAGCTCAGAAAGGAGCCATGAGACATCTACGTATGGCAAGTTGGAGAGTTTCTGTTGATTCAGTAGTAATATCCTGTGCACTTCCACTCTTTAAGAATATGAGAAAATATATTTAAATTATCAGGTGATTTCTTTTGGTTTGATGAGGATACTGTATTTACCGTGAGAACTCATCACCTGATTTCTTTTTTGTTGGAATTAATGAGAATGTACATCTTCATATTAATGAAGAAAAGAGCTTTAAAATTTCTTTTTGGAAATAAATGGTGTTAGGCATAAATTACTTACTTTTTCATTTGATGACTTCTTATTCCAATGGCTGAAAAATATGATTGAGGCAATGTTAGATGGGTTGAAGAGAGGTACTTTGATTTCAGTAGTGTAAGGAAGAACTTTATTTTAAATTACAATGAAATAAAATTTAATTGCACATTTTACATCTTGCAGTGTGTTTGTATTTGAAGTGTTTGCAAAGTTTCTTAAAGACCAAAGTAATCATGTAAATGAGTATAATTTAATTTGCAGTCTATGGAGGTATAAATAATTCGTACACTACATAGTGATCATATTAAATGATCACCGCATAAATTAAGGGTTTGAAAATACCTTCCAACTATTTAGCACATTGGCAATAATAGATTTGTAACAGACAGAAATTTAAAGTAAGCCTGCATTTGATTGTTTTCAGACATGCTGTACAACACTCAGTGCAATAGCAGAGCTTTTAAAGAGGCGCTAATCACTGTGTATTTGATTTCATTAGTCTGTTTCACTTGGTTTCATTCATTCTGAACCAACATGTTAAAGTCTTGAAACCAAATAAAATCCTATTTATGCAACACATTTTTTTCTGTTTTGTAATTGGATGGCTATAAAAACCTGTCCCTGCTAAAAGACATAATTTGTTCACAAGTTGTTCCTGTTGGTCTCTGTTGCATTTTCCAAGTGGCAGTACATAAAAATGTGTTACATTAGCACAGTTACGTATTTACCAAACGTGAAGTGTAGCATTCTGTGAACAGATGTTTGGCTACCACCAGACTGGTAGATCTGTTTAAGCAGCACTTTTGCAAACATCAGAAGTGACTGTTCTGACACTCTGTTTCAATCCATGAGGGGAGCATCTGAAATTACCTCATGTATTTACATGACCTTATTTCTGCTCTTCATGCCATAAATTAGGTCAGGAATCCCAACTGCAGTGGGTTAAGTTTCTACATCATAATATATCAACACAAAAGGTAATCTCCAGGGCTGTTTTTTTCAGCAGCAGGGAAGAAAAGGCAGTAATTCTCAATTATGTGGCACCAGAGGAGAGGCAAAATGTACAGTTCTGGGAAAATGGTTAGGAATATATATTTTCACTGTAATAAAGACTGTGCTGGCATAGTTAGCAGTTTTCTGCCAATGTGTACAGTTATTTGAAATATGACTCTGACTTAAGAAGAATGGAAAAGCTCTGCCTGGTCTCTAGTGGAAGAGATGACATTTCCTAATGTGTTAAATCATGCACATCACGCATTTGAAAGCAGTGGATTAAACAAATGCTTATGAATGATGTCTTATCTCTTTCCTGTGAACTCATCATTCAAACTCTGTCTTATCTGTTCATGAATTACATAAACCATGAACCCCAGCAGCCTTGTATAACTTATAATAAAACAGATAGGATAATACCAACAAAGTGTAAGTGAGGCCTGAGCTCCTGCTGCAAAATTTGGAACTACATCAAGGTTCCCAGAACTCTCAGACGGTTTTAACCTCCAGTATTTTGATTTGGCCTATTAGAGACACATTTGCAGTCTCTGATGAGAGAGCCTGAACTACCCTGAGAGCATTAAAGACAAAATGGACCATCTTTCCTTGGAGGATTAATCTAGAGGGGGCTGTCTGTGACACAGATGAGAAATGTGGGCTGAAACCATTTTGGGGCCGTGACCTGTGCTACCTGTGCATGGAGCATCACCGTTGACTGTAACTCTGTCTGCCTTACTGCAAACCGTAGGAACTAAACTGTTTTCTCCTTAATCCACTGTTAGCTGCAATTAACTACAGCATATGCAATATGTTATTCCATTTTGCAGCAACAACCCAGCTCACAGGTACTACCTGGCAACTGACCCCGTGACAGGAGATTTGTACGTTTCTGACACAAACACACGCAGGATTTACCGGCCCAAGTCGCTCACGGGTGCGAAAGACCTGACCAAAAATGTTGAGGTCATAGGAGGAACGGGGGAGCAGTGCCTGCCCTTCGATGAGGCAAGGTGTGGTGATGGAGGCAAGGCGGTGGAGGCAACTCTCATGAGCCCTAAAGGTAAAAAGAGCTCTCCCTCTGTAACATTCAGAATAATACAGAAGTTCAGAGCTGGGGGCATGACTGTGTTTAATTACTGAATTCAATAGTTGGCTCAAAAATTGGGGATTTGAGTAATTTTTTTTACAAGTAGAAAGTGTATAGAGGAAGAGAGCTACAGGGGACTGATTTTTTTGAAATCAATTAGGGTTGATTTTTTAGGAAGTATTTGGCTTGAGTGGTTATTGAGCATTTTTAAACACTCAATAAGAGCATTTAGATTATGTGTTTGGCAGGCAGCAGTGAATATCTAAAATGAGCATTGCTTTTGGTTCCATTTATTCAATGTTTAAAGTTAACTTAAAATCTAGACCCTTCCAACACACAAAAGCAATTGAACAGCAAATGCAATCAACAGTAGTAGATTTCATGCTGAATACTGGTTTGTCATGCAAAATACATTAACAAGCTGTATTACTACCTACTCCCTGACACCAGATTTTCTGCCTACAATTTCTACTAAATGCATGCTACCTATACCCTTAGTTGTGGATAATATATTCACTGGTAGTACAACAAAAAAAAAAAACCCTAATTTTTATTTGCTTCACTGAAGGAATAGCAATAGACAAGAATGGGTTAATCTACTTTGTTGATGGGACCATGATCAGAAAAGTGGATCAGAATGGAATAATATCGACATTGCTTGGCTCCAATGACCTTACCTCAGCACGACCTCTAACCTGTGATACCAGCATGCACATCAGCCAGGTACTTTCCAGTTGCTGCTAATTTGCAAAGCTGAGCTGGTGATAGAAACTGAGATGCAGCTTTTGAGCCCCTTAAAATAAAAGTGAGTGGAGTGTGATGGATATTTAACAGCAGGTTTGGGGGAGAAAGCAACCTGTTCCACGGGTGTGAATTGCACTGTATTCGCTAAGCTATAAACGGTGCTGTATTCAATTTTTCTGCCCATAAAGTTCAGTTTGGTTTAGAACAGCAAAACTATCAGCAGGAAACATTAAGCCTGGTAGTAAATACTGGGAGAATGGCATATCTGTTAGAAGTATCTTGGCATGTTGATGTTTTCTGAATTGCTGACATCCTTAGCCTACTAGAGTGAATGAAAGGATTTACACAAACCCCCTGTATTTTTCTATTTTTATTAAAAACTTGTGTAGGTACGAAGGAACGTGTCAGTAGTAGTATGTTCCCAAAATGGAGTACAGTGTTTCATAATCTGGAAGGTAGTACGTTATTTTTGCTACTGCAAGAATAAAGATGAAAACTGTTGGCAAGTATTTAGACATCAATATCTGTCTCTATAGTTCTTTATACATTTGTGATGCAGAAAAGTATTGCATTTATTGGAGGGGAAACTCAGCCTGTATTATAGTTTCAATGCAACTGGCTTTCTTTTCAGTAAAATGGATGCCTGAATATTGTTCCCTTTGCCTTCCTGAAGACTTTAGTTTGCTGAATGTATTCATGCAAGTTCTTCAGTTGCGATTGCTTAAAGCAGATAGAAAATATCCTTACATCGGTATCTAAAACTGAAGGTTAATTAATTCATTTAATCTGCACTGGTTAGCTGTTTGACAAAACACTTTATTTGTTTAGGTTCGTCTGGAGTGGCCTACAGATTTAGCTATCAACCCGATGGATAACTCCATTTATGTGTTGGATAACAACGTGGTTCTGCAGATCACGGAGAACCGCCAGGTGCGCATTGCCGCGGGGCGGCCGATGCACTGCCAGGTGCCGGGCGTGGAGTACGCGGTGGGCAAACACGCCGTCCAGACCACGCTGGAGTCGGCCACCGCCATCGCCGTGTCCTACAGCGGCGTGCTCTACATCACAGAAACTGACGAGAAAAAGATAAACAGGATAAGGCAGGTCACAACCGATGGAGAGATCTCTTTAGTTGCTGGAATACCCTCGGAGTGTGATTGCAAAAATGATGTTAACTGTGACTGCTACCAAAATGGAGATGGCTATGCTAAAGATGCCAAACTCAACGCCCCTTCCTCCTTAGCTGTGTCTCCAGATGGCACCCTCTATATTGCTGACCTGGGAAACATTAGGATACGGGCTGTGTCAAAGAACAAACCCTTAATGAATTCAATGAACTTCTATGAAGTTGCTTCCCCAACTGACCAAGAGCTGTATATTTTTGATGTCAATGGTACCCACCAGTACACTGTGAGTTTAGTCACCGGGGACTACCTGTACAACTTCAGCTACAGCAATGACAATGATATTACTGCCGTGACCGACAGCAACGGGAATACCCTTCGGATCAGGCGGGATCCCAACCGAATGCCAGTAAGAGTGGTCTCTCCTGATAACCAGGTCATCTGGCTGACCATAGGCACCAATGGGTGTTTGAAAAGCATGACTGCACAAGGGCAGGAGCTGGTCTTATTTACCTACCATGGCAACAGTGGACTTCTGGCAACTAAAAGCGATGAGACTGGATGGACCACTTTTTTTGAGTAAGTACATTTAAAAAAGTCAGATGCCTTATAGTTTTATTGAGTTCTAAGGACCATTTGAAATGTTTCTGGGTGAAGTAACTGTAAAGTTAACCCTTGATAGCAAAAAGCACAGAAAGATACTTTCAGTTTCCCATGCTGACTTCCTCTGTCTTACTTGTCTGACTTCTTCTGAACATTGGGTCTGAATAATTTTGAATTCATTATTTTGAACTTCAGTTTTATATATTGAAATAATAGTGAGACAACATTTCACTCTTGTCAAGAAATTTGTAACTCAGACAACCATGGGTTTGTAGATTTGCATCAAAAACTAGATTTTCATCCCACTTGCTCATTAGATTGACATTCTTCTGCTGCAAATACTGACAAGAAATTTATCTTTGCTGCTCAATTATTTTTTTTTAAGAAAAAGCATTTCTGCATGTTCTTTTGTCCAAAAATAACATCTGGGTGGGTTGTAAAAGGTTGTGTTTCACTGAGTGGAGGGTTCACAGGAAGGATCTGCTGGACAGCACAGCAGGCTTTCACACAGGTGAACCCAGTTGGAGGAAGCTGAGAAAAGAAATGTGTGCCATGGGGGAACTGTCATTCCTGTAGGAATAAACTGAAAACACAGAAGCCACCAGCACCATGTCATGTACAGGTGCTAGCACAACAGCAAGAGGTGCTGTTGGAGGTATTACTGGAACAGTAGGACTTGTAATTTTACCAACCTCAGGAAAAATCTTTTCAGTGAATTGCTTTAGCCTTTGTTACACTCATTAAGTCATCAATGCCTGTTCATAGCAGACAGATTAGCAAAGCGTTTTACAGAATCCTCAATTCTATTGACTAAGGAAGATCGTGACAATTTATAGATAAACTAGTGGAACCAGAGAATTCACATACAGGCTTTATCAGCAACTTCATCTCCAAATGATCTGAACTGCCAACTGAATACACTAAGCAAACATAACAAAAATGCAGCTTAAAACAGAAACCATTATTTCAGAAACGGTCAATGTAGAATTAACACAGATTTTTTTCAGTTGTCTCTGAAAATATGTGTATTTTTAACTCACAGGAAAGACATGATGAGGTTGGGTAAGAAGGTATGGATGAAGGAATGGAAGATGTAGTGTTAGTGTGATAAGTAAAACTGTTAAGAGGCCTCTAGTTGAACTATTCAGGATTACAAAGGGCATCATGAAAATTCAGTAAGTCCCTCTTCTTTTTATTTCCCCCTCTTCTTTTCTCGTATCTTTATGATGAAATGCAGTAGCAACTGCTGCCAAGGTCAGGGCTTAAAAAAAAGCTTTCAATTCAACACACATGATAAAGAAAATAAAGTGCCAGTGTCAGGCAGTGGCAGCAAAGCCAAACATCTGTGTTCTGAGATAACTTCGTATTTCTGTCAGTGCACATTTGGCTGAGGCAGTGTGCAGAAGGACTTTGAGCACCTGTATCTACTCTCCAGCCTTTACAGATGCCCATCAGAGACACAAGAGCAGCAGGTGCTGCTTCACTGCATATTGTGTCCTGAAGCGGAGACAGGGCTAGGAATGCTGATCCCTGACAAAGACAGCAGGTGGGATGGTACTGCTGCCAGTTTTAAGGTATTCTTACAATAATCTGTAAATTGGCAGGGCTCTGGTAGTGGGCACCTTCCCAAAGCATTAGCACACATCTGTAATATTTAATTGTGCTTTGGTGCATCCACTGGGGATCTTTTTAGGTCCTGCCAAGAGGACACAGAAGCACAGCAAGGGTACACAGAGGAATGAGAAAGTGTTTGATTGGCAGGGCAAGTGTTCTCCTTCTATTGAGGTAGCCCTGTCCTGTATGCTGAGAGACCAAAGCACAGCATTAGGTGGGCTGGGAGTAGCCATCCATTTCCACAGAGAGTAAAGTCAGTGTTGAACTGTGACAGACACAGCCACTTGTTTCCCATAGGCAAGTTGGGCAAGGCAGTCAGTTTGGGGGACAGTGAAGTCTTGTACAGAAATGAAAGCATCTGCTGGGTACAGCAGGCGCTTTTAATCATGCTGACATTCATACTGGCTAATTGAGGACCTAGAGTTTTAATCAGGGCAGTAATTTCTCACCATGTTGGCTGTAGTTTCTGTGTAGCCTGCTGTGGTGTACTGCAGTAGCTGGTGGCTCCTGAATGTGTCTTAATGGTGTCTGCCTGATCACAAAAAAACTGGATATTATATTCACTATTCAGTGGGTGATGGGTCTGTCGTTTTCATCATGGGGAGAATTTAGGGTGCTGTGTGTCATGAAGCACACAGCTATTTCCTGACTCTGCAAATAGCCATCTTTCACACCTGATCTGCTTTCATGCAGACTTTCTGGTCTGAGTTAGGTTATGTCCAGCTGACTTACAGAGAGCCCAAAGGGCAGGCTATTCCCCTCAGTAACTATTAGGATTATTTGCAAGCTGCTGCTTATGCAGTTCCTAAACAATTACCTCCAACCAATGTCTCGTTAGAATTCCCAAGCTGAAGTAATTATAGAGACAGCTAGGCAATTTCACTCTCCCAAATTTGCAAGTGTATGAGGCTTTTGCAGAAGCAAAGATATTTATCACCTCCCTGTAGCCATGGTGAAGCAGTAATCTGTTTAATTGCAACAAGGAAGATTCAGATCAGACATTTGGAGGAACTTCACGGTGAAGATTTTGGAGCCCTGGAGCAGACAACAATGATAGTGACCCCTTGCCCTTCATAGACTGTCTTTAAAAACAGATCAGACGTCTTTCAGGACCAATGCAGGAAGAACAGATCCTGCCCTGGGGTAGAGGTTGGACTGCATGACCTCTCAAGGTCCCTTCCAGTAATGTTTTCTGTGATGCTCTGTACAAGTTAAAACCAAAAATAAAAAATTGTACTGATTACGTAAAGCCACAGGGAATAAGGGGCAGGAGGAAGGCACTGTTTTACTTTTCTTGCCAAAACAGCATTCTTAAAAACATCCATCAGTCATCATAGCTGCTTGCTTCTTTTGAACATAAAATCCCCATGCACCAAATCTATGTCTGTATATTTCTCTTTTGAAGGAAAAAATAATTGTGAACACAAGTCTTTTGCCATTTTTTATTATAAGATCAAGTATAATTGTGACTTGTTGGCGCTCATGATTTGTCACATTAAATCTGACAATGATGGACTTTGAGAGGTTTCTGCTACTATTGCCAAAAGAGATGGAGCCCGTGAATTATCACAGAAGAGTTTGTGTGGGGGTGATATGATGTACAAGGGTGTCTCTCTCTCAGCTTCTGCATATTCATGTTTGTGGGTAGTATGGGCTGAACCATTTCCACGTGAAATGTTTTCTGTTGAAAAAAACGAAGCCTTGTTAAAATGGAAAGGTATCCCTCAAACATCGAGTGAGGAATAAGAAATTCTGAAAATAAATAATTCTGGCTCCATAGCATAATATTTCAACTTCATTGCTGAATGCATTTTCTTTTAATATCACAGTTAATTTATGTATTTTATTTACTGTGTTACTCAAATTTTCAAAATATTTTGAGAAAAGGTTAGAATTTCTATTCCATGGCGAATCCAGACTTTCTTCCCACTCATAGCTAAAAATGTTCAACTGTTTGAATGTCCAGTGGACCAGAAATGCCTTTTATCAACTAGTTTGGAGTATAGCTGGGTTTTTTCACCTTTCAGTTGTCACAAATCTGTTTAAGTGGCTGAAGGAAAAATACAGTGCATTTAGGAATAAAAAGTTCAGCCTTGGGAGCAACTCAGGAATAGCTTGGTTAACTATTCTTCTGTGCAAGTCTGGTTGTATAAGTGGAGCATGGATCCAAATAACTTATTTCAGCTGGGTTCTCAGTGGTTTGAAAGCAGGTTTATGAAAATGATTCAGTCTTTCTTTTTTCCTTTTCAGAACAAAGGGGAAATATTTGCAAAAACATTGCATCCCAAAAATTGGCAGTCAGTGCTCTGGCACATACTAAAACATTTGGTCTTGTTTCTTTTCATGGCTTTTTTCCACAGTTTAAATCACACTAATATCAGATCCAGAAAAAATTTACTTTTTTTTTATTTTAGCCTGGACACTAATTAATCTATAGTTTATTTTTTTAGTCTCTTCTTTCCCTGAAGAAGGGAAGGACTGACACACAATAAATGGTTTTTTACATTCTTTTTGGTTTTTACAGTGAATTTGTAACTACTAGCTTGAATTACTTAGGATATAATACAATCTGTTTTCTTTGTTTACAGACTTGGGGGATTTTTAATATCTTTATGGCAAAATGGACTTGTAAATTTCTGTTCTGCTAAGGGTTATAGTGTACTGATCAAAAGTGACACCTTAAATTTCAGGAATGTGTACTTTTTCAAAGCACTGTTGCTCAAATTCATAGTAACTGTTACCTGTTTTCAGAGGTCCAAAAACTTGCTGAATAAAAATGATGTTAAGAGAGCATTTACAGAAATGATTGAAAATGCATGCATACTAAAAGAAAACCAATGGAGCCATATCAGGCTAAAAGTTGCCCAGATTAGGTTTTATAATGAAATTATAGTATCAAACAAGGTATAAAAGTAATCAGCCTAATCAAATTCTCTTACAAAATTCTGAGATATCTGAGCTGGAAACTATTAACTGTAACTGCATATTATGTATGCATAATGTGAACATTTAAACAGCTAAATCTTAAAAGTTAAACTAATTATCTGCATATTAGCATTTTGGAAGTGACACTTCCTAGCTAGCCTATATGGCATTATTTCTATGCAGCAGTTTCCATTGTGATTTTACATACAGAAAGCTAAGCCAGGTGCTTACAGAAATACAAAAAGAGCATTTTCTCTTGACCTAGGTTTTGAAATACCAGAAGCAAACGCCCAAGAAGCCTTGCAGGCGCCCCTGTGCAGTGGCCCAGCCGTGCCAGCCTGTGGCTGCTCTGTGGCCCTTGGGCTGTGTGAGGAGCTGGCAGAGGCTGCTGTGGCAGGGAGGGTCCCTGCAGGACACGGGGCTGCAGTCTGTGCGCC